AGCTACTCCCGGGCCGTGGACTTGCAACCACTAAACCCTAAACCCTAAACCCTAAACCCCTAAACCCTGAACCCTCATCTTTTGGGTTTCTGAACGGCCCCCTCGAACGGTCAAGCAGGACTTGGTCTTCTGCTGGTTGGCGCTTAGGACTTTAACTCTTTGGGGTTTCTATATAAGTATAATAAGGAGACGAAAAGTTTAACTTTTTGGTGTTTCTATATAACTATATAATCAGGAGACCAAAAGTTTGACTTTTTGGGTTTCTATATGAACTAAAAATAAGGAGACTAAAAGTTTCATCGCTTTTTGGGAGGGGTTCAGAAGTCCTATTAAACCCCTCAAACAGGAGTCTGCAGTCAGTTCAACTGCGAAAGCGATGCCATGTGCGAGAGCCACCTTGGGATCGAAGGCCTTCGGGTTTAGGGTTTAGGGTTTAGGGCCCCCCCTGATTTCGGATATGGGTAGTTTTCTAAATTAGGGTCCCGTTTTTGGTCCCCAATATAGTGCGGCACCCTTGTAAAAAGGAACCCCAAACGAGACCCTAATTTAGAAAACTACCCAAATACAGAATTCCCGGATTCGACAGGAGGAGCCATCGGCACGAAGCGAGAGTCCAGCAAGGCGAGCGAATTCAGAGCTGGACGGGGGTTTAATGGAAATACATCTGGGGCCATTTAGGGACAGAAAATTGTTCTAATATTCTGCCAGGCGGCCTTTCTCCGCTACGGAAACTCCTTGGAGCACACCTTGCCCAGCGACAGGAACTCCTCTCTGCAGTCCGGCACTTCGCACCAAGCGAAATTTGCCACGCGTGCATGAGGTGGTTCCATACACTTGCCCGCGTCCACAATCACCTACGTCATTCTCCCCCCTGACTCACCCGCCTGCTGCATGTGATGCGGCCGATGTCCCTCGCCGACATCTGCGAGACAGAGGCGCAGGAAAAGGGGGAGCCGACGCTCGGCCGTCTAGCAAGGCTGCACCGACCCCATCTGCGCGATGTAGAGAGGACACTGTCCTACTGTTCCGAAACCTCTACGCAAAAACCACGTTCTCAGGCCGTGGACTTCTGGCTCACCCGCCCCTCTCTGCACAAAGGTTATCGTACACCCGTTTTGTAAGTTGCGATTTTTGTGCGTCGCGCTCAGGTGAGTTCTATTGACCACAAAGAACAGAATATTACAGTAGAAGCCCAACAGTTGGAAACCCCATAGCCTCCATCCTTAAGAGCAGCGTATAGGGAATCCCAGCACGAGGTGTCCTTAACCCGGTTTCCAACTTTCTGGGGTTCACTGTATTCCTTGTCGAATAATGAAAGCCTCTACATTAGGGTCACGGCCAGAGACTCCAACATCCTTTCACTGAGGTTCCATGATGAAAGCCCCCTACTAATATTATTATTCGCTGCGGGTCTTAAATGCTTAATTTCGAAGGATCAATAGCTATATAGGGCAATCATGTACCCCGAAACCCTAGTCTAATTATTGAGGCCCTTGAATTACACTGAAGCTAGCTGAAGCATACATGGGCTTCTGCTACACTCGTATCGCAAACATGCAAATACATGAGTGAGCATTGATGTACAGAAATGCATGCATGCTTACATAGAATCTGGTCCTAAATTGCGCCCGTCGAAAGACGCTGAAGAGAAAACTGAGCGATAGTGAGCTTGCAGGTCATGATTTCGAGGCAAAGTGCCTAAGCGCAATGCACATTGGTTGCATCCTCAAAATTACCAAGCCCCTCAAGGTCACGAGCCCTTGTGTTCAAGTTCATTGGTTTCAGTTTTCATTTTCAGCCACTGAGAGGATAAAATCCAGTATAATATGAAACAACCCTAAACCCTAAACCCCAAACCCAGAAAGCCTTTAAACCGTCCGATCATGCTGCAGGGAGCAGACACGGAGCGAGCTTGCTTCGGAGGCTCGGGTTGGGTTAGTCTTAGGGGCACTGTAAAGTATACGTACATACACTGGTTTTGTTTATCATGTGGTTACCAAGACGGGCCCTCTATACTACGATTATGGAATTTGGTCCCCCGAAGCCACAATAAGGATGGTCTTTTGGGACCTTATTCCATAATGGTAGTATATGTGGACCGGGTTAAGAGTCTATGAATCCTAAACCCCTAAACCCCTAAACCCCTAACCCCTAAAACCAAAGCCCTAAACCCCTAAACCCTAACCCCTAAACCCTAAACCCCTAGACCCGTAAACTCTATCAGTCTTGAGGTCTTCCGTGTTGTTCCGGTTGAAGAGTTTCTCGGGCTTGTGTAACAGCTTCCGTGGTCTCTGCTTTCATCCGCTTGCAAGTGGAGCTACAGTCCTCGGGTTCCACATTGGGCTTTTCGCGGTTAGTTCTGGTACGAAAGCCTGAGGGTGCTTCACTTTGCATTTGGGCGTAGAGAGATGTTGAGGGTTTAGACGGTTAAAGGTTCCTATGATCTAAACCCTAAACCCTAAAAGGTTCCTATAATCTAAACCCTAAACCCCAAACCCTACAAGGTTCCTATAATCTAAAACCCGAAAACCTCAACCCTAGACCCAGAATTCTTGCTGGCTCCCCTCTCTCCGCAGCTCCAACTCGCTCGACTTCAGGCCTTTGGCCACGACAGCATCCGCAAGGCCTACGAGGCTCCAAGCCCCGGGGTTCGGGGTTCACTTAGGAGTTTAGGAAGTTTGGTGTTTAGGGTTTGGGAAGTTTGGTGTTCAGGGGTTTAGGAAGTGTGGCTTTTAGGGTTTAGGAAGTGTTGGGTTTAGGGTTTAGGGTTTAGGAAGTTTGGTGTTTAGGGTTAAAGAAGTTTGGTGTTTA